TTTGGGTGTCGATCTCCGGATACCGACTACCTCTACGCCGATGGCGATTTGGCCGAATGGACCAAGTTGGGTGTAGTTGATATCCGTCCTGCGTTTTCGAGAGCTTCAGAAAAGTCTGAGGGATGTAAATATGTTCAAGAGTGAGTTCAAGTGCAATTTTTCCCCCAGGCGCTCAAGTTCATTTTCTCCAGCCGGTTATGGCACGATCGAGCAGATATCACTGCTATGTTCCAGGCTAATGCTAATGTAAGGATCTTCTGATTTTCCCCGGTTTATTTTTCCATTTCGTCTCATTTCGTTGTGCTTATCGCCAGTTCTACGTCTGCGGTTCAAGCACGATTGCGAAAGAATTGAAGGCAAAGTTCGTGAAGATCATTCAAAGTCTCCGGCAGGACATGGATGTTCAGGCTGCCACCGCTCACCTTGAGTGCTTGATGAGAGATCGTTATGCTACGGATGTTTTCGACTGAATATTTTCCCGAGTTTTCGAATTCGTCCCACTTCACATAAATCTAGGTTCCGTTACGTTCAAATGTAATGTAGTATATGTCCATTGTATTGCGAGATATTCCTCGATAGTTTGTACGTCGAACTGAAATTCCCGCTCTATCAATGAAAGGCTTTCAACGTTGAGGTGCTTACCGTACACACTACAAAGTGAATAGGCAAGATGATCGTCTTCTAATTATCAGAGTTCATGATAGTTGAAATATATCATTCTACTTCCTCCGTTGAAATAAAAGCTCGCCATTCGAACGACTCAAAATGAGCCCTGCAATGCCTCGACCCATCACATTGCACGCGAGATCCCCGGCAAAAAATGCTCGCGTTGCGATCAGTTTGTGCAACTCCTCCAGACGATCTAAAGTCTCCCCCTGACCAACGTTTTCCAAGACGTCACATTTGCAGTCTGCACAGAAGGACAAAATCAATCCTAGCTCGCTGTGAAGGTCTCTAAGGAAGTTTAGAGCGAGAACATCGCTGCCCGAGTTGATAGCAGTTTGGTATGTTGCTCGTGCAAAGTCGTGATTGGAACCACCTCCAGCACCAACCTTGGTCACAGCCAGTTCAATCATTGAGACTTTCTCAGTCCAGTATTGTTCTTCGGTGAGTGTAACTGAAGCATCTCTATCGGTAGAGTCAGTACAATTCCCAAAATGTTTGATAAGATAAACGTACTGTATCGTGATGGGGCAACAACACGAAAGGGAGAACAATACCACATTAAAGAGCTCCAGTGTTATCCTGTTAAACGAGCAGATTTTGAGCCCTCTAGTACAAAAGAAGAGTTTCTCAACGTGCAGTGTCTTCAGAATGCAATAAAAACGTGATTCCACAGATCTGTACAGATCTGAGCTCCTTCCCAAACCTTCTCTCCACAGATGAACACAATAGATACTGATAATAAACCAGCGGGAATACTTCAAAGTTTGGTCTGGGTTTGGTCTCAAGATTTTCACGATACAGTTGATAATATCACAACATCATATCCATTTTCACCAATATATCCTTGACGTATGTATAACCAAGTCTGTTAGAATTTGAGGTTTGTCTCGCTAACTGAGTTGTTAATTGGCTTTAGCTAGAGGCAAACTGATGCCTCAAGCAGGTACTTTTATTTAGCTTTTATACCTACTCAAGTATCTAGAATTTTCTACATGTATCTACAAGTATCAGTGATAAAGTGGAGTAAATTAGTAATAACCTTGGCAAAAGAGTATGTACTCTGAGTCATACGGAATACTGTAGAATCCTGTTGAAAGGACTCGCACAGGTGAGCTGCACCGTGCCAGATTTCAACAAAGTCGTCCGTCAAACTTGAGAACAAGGGCAAGCATTGTCTGAGTGTCGTCTATCTCCAGAATATCTGTGGGTAATAAACAGGTTGGATCTGAGCTTGGTGCATTCCAAGTGTGTTCAAACGTGTGTGGTAGGATTTGAGGAATTGAGTAAAAAGTCTTTGAGCTTGAGTGAAATCGATAACCAGCTGTGAAGATTGAGTAAAGACTCACCATGGAGCGTTTTGCACAGCTATATCATGTCTCTCTGCATTGCTCTCTCCTTCAGTGCTCTGAGTAAATCTTGAACTATAACAGTTATTGGCTGAACCATAGGTTAGCTATTTATGGGAGGAATGGATTCTGTTCACTTTCACAATATGAACAAGGAAACCGTCCCGGGACGGACTGCTTAGCTGACACCTGGTGTCACAGATTGCTTTAAGTTTAAGCCGGTAACAACACCAGGCTGCATGGAGCTTGCGGAATGCCGGCGACGAGCAGCCCACCATTGGCTTCTCTTCTTTGACCATGCAGCTGCCACTTGAGAAATGCTAGATCAATTTCTTGCCACCCAACTTCTTGGCTGATTCTTTGAGTAGTCTTTTGAATTGCAATAGTTCCCTCTTTTATCAGGCTCTCATTTTCTTACTGATCTCAACAACAATCTGACCAAGTATTATAGTCCAGGCAAAGAAGACTCAAGCAGTGTTCAATCTCCAAAATAAAGAGACTACAGTTTGTGACTTGCATTCATTTATGCCAAGTGGCAAGAAGTTCATGAGTAAAAATACTAGAAAGCTTCAATAGACCTTTGTCCTGTGAGCTCCTTCAAAGAGGAGCCTGAGATATATTCAATGAATGTATGTTTTGGATATGTGACTGGCACCAGACTTAAAAGAAGCTCAAGGGGAGATTCACAGAGACTTCCATCCAACATGATTAGAAGATAGAGTACTTCAGTACCTGCCATTCTGTCAGTTGAAACTGATGAGAACAGAAAAGAATTGAGGCATCAGACCCATAAAACTTTCCAAAACACCAAACTAATTATCAATCAAAGTCATCTTTCAGAGCTCAATCCATCTGAGCAGAACAAAGCCAAGTGGGGTACTTAGATAGTGGTGTCTATTGTTGGTCCAAAGCAGATGATGTTTGGAGAAGAGGCTGACCCTCAATGTGAATGTAGGGCCACAGACAGTAGAAATTGCCAAGTAAAGGATGATGGTCTCAAGGCTCTACTGCAGGAGCTAGAGGCAGCAGCTATCTCTGAAAGAGAAGGGGCTTTTGTTCTTTTGAAAGAGTTGATGTCCTGAAGAAGGAACATTGGTGATTATGTTGGGTAGGATTTCAAGTTGTATATTTATAGATATGTTGCTACATATAGACCATATTTACTGTAAGGAACTCTCCCTACAGTTATCCCACTCTGAGTTTGCCATAATTATGTCTCTATGAGGGCAAGTCCCTACAATAACATGAAGGTAGATCTATGGTTTATGCCTGTAGTGAATAAGTCAATGTTTACTGTAGGGGCATTCCTGCAGTGACATTTTCAAGGTTTGTTGTAGAGGTATCCCCACAGGCAGGAAGCCACACAAATGGGGACAAGCATTTGACAGACAGAGTCTGAGCATGAACATGCAATTACTTGACCTCAGGTTGCAAAAAGCCAGCAGTCCTCTGACCTGTTAAATCCTTTTGGTCACTAATTGCTTGCTTGTTTCAAATTGGATTTTCAGTGCTCAGTTGTTACTTTCAAGATGAAGTGACTTTTTTTATCTTGTACATACTAAATGCTTCTTGTAAAATTGATTTTATTCATTATTGTCAAGTTATTGCAAACTATAATACCAGTGGGTCACCCCAAACCATGAAGTGAGGTTCATAAACTGAGATAGCTATATATTAGAGGATGCTATCTGCACAAAACCTTTGAGGTTATGGTCAAGTTGTATCCTTCTGAGTTTATACATTATCATGATTAAGAACTTTCAATTGGCATTGGATGCCCAAAGATAATTCCCTTATAAAGGATGGAAAGAAGTATTGTTCTTTAATGTTTGTTCCAGTATAAATACCTGTCAGCTCCCAGTTCCAGTACATGACTTTGCTTTGTACTAACTTCTCACCTCAAAACAAGTCTATTTCTCTTTCTACCAAGCACAAGGCTTAGACAGCTAAAAAACCAACAACATGGTTTTGTCAAGTTCTCCAGCAACATACCCTTCCCTCCAATCAGCAACCAAGAATCCTCATGTGTTTGGATGCTTGTCAATGGAGATACAGCCATTCATATTGAACACTTTCTTATTATAGCAGATCAATGTTTCCAAGTTCACAACTTGTTTGGGTTGGTAGTGAGCAATATAATATAGTACCATCAGTCTTCCTTCAATTCTCAGTTGGCTGTGTGTTGTTCCTGGTTTCTATATAAGCAACAGTTAATTGCACAAATTGGTGAACAAAATATGGATACCTGGTTGGATTAGCCCAAAATCCTTCAAGCCTCCCAATGCCAAAAACTGATAGTGAAAAAGTTGATGAAGCATCTAAATTATCTGTCAGTCCATATTCCAGGCTTTGCAGGTGATTTTGATATCATGAAACAGCAAATTCAGAGTAAGATTATGTGTAATGGCTTACCCCACTTCTTTGCAACAGTTAATCCTGAAGACTCCCATAACCCAGTAGCCCAGATACTGGCTGGTAGAGATGTAAATTTTATAAGCTTTTTAACGTCTTAGAGAAGGAGCCAAGCACTAGAGCCAGAGTTGATGCAGAAAATCTGTCACAGATGTAGAATTCTTACATCTGATGGTTACCAAATTTTTCAATGATATTCTAGATACCAAAACAGTCTCTAAATAGATTCTTTAGACAAAATAAAAGGCTGGTATGCTGTTGTTGAGACACAAGTGCAAGTATCATTTCAACTACGTTGGATTAGGCATATAAGTTGTCTTATCTACAGATTGTTCTTGAGATGGTGTTGTTTTGTCTGGTTCAGTTCAGCCTCCACCTCAAGAGGCCTAATCCCCTGCCATAAGTAGGGTAGATTCAGGAAGCAGCCCTAGTGATCAGAGCAGGCCAGATTGGAGGCAACAATGCCTCTAATACTGTAGTCAACTCTACACACCCCATTTAAAGAGTTCCAGTATGTACAACCCAAGTGAGTGTTTGTTACAATAAACCATGATCTAAAAAAAAAAGTCTAAAAAGAGGTCTAACCAGGACTCGAACCTGGGTTAGCGGAAATCAAATGTCTCAGAATCCGCTGTGATAACCACTACACTATTAGACCAGCCGACCAATGTGCTTTGTTAAATAACTTATACAGTCAGCGAGGCACTTGCATATAAATCGACAACATCGACGACAAATAGCAAGAACCACATAAGTAGTATGGAAAACTTCAAGGAGGCAATAACACATAAATCATTCTATGATCTCATGAGCCGATCAAAGATTACGCATACCCTCGTAATCGCACTCCATTGTTTCAACTTCTCCCTGCAACAGTAGGCGAACAATTCCCGTAAACGTAAGGTCTGGACGAGGGTAAGGGTGGGCAGATAGATCAATATCTGATCAATCGTAGCAAATTGCTAACAGGTGTACAGGACTGAGTTTCTGAGCAGAGTTTGAAAGCCATCGTGAGTGCGAGTGAGGGGTCAGACAGGGAGTTGACCTGCCATAGACAAATGAATTTTGAGGCTCGACTCGTTCGCTAACGAGAGCAAGAATTAGGGTCCATAATAGGTAACCGGACAAGACGGGTATATGATAAGATTAAAAATTGTAGGTACGGGTGGGCGGCTGTCATCAGCCCTTTGGAGTGGTGAATTTGAAATAAATCCTCCCCATCGCGAAATCGCCCGATGTTCCTATGAAGGACCCAATGGTAACAGCACAATTGGTACCCTCGACAAATACTGCTTCACCGGTTTCCCAGTATACGGATCCGGTAGCTGCTGAGCCTGAGGAAGTGTTTGTTGTATCGCTTTGAGCTCCAAAATGTCACTTGAGCACAAGGTTCCTTGTTGAGTACCCGGTAATCTGATCGAAGGGCATCTCACTCACCTATCACTCAACGGCTGATGCGCAGGCTCGACCGCAGTCCTATCCCAATCGTCCGCAGTATAAACATGCTCCAGCCCCTCATCTTCACTACACCATGCAACATGAGAATGTTCCTTCCTCGAGTTCGAGGTCGTCTTTCTGCTGCTGCCACTCTTCAAGCACCCTTTCGTCCGAGTTGATTTGACATTGGGGATGGGCTGTGACGACATTGACGACATCTCGAGAAGTTGGAATTGGGGGGGAAAAAGGTCGGAACTATTCGAGCTGCGCTGGGGTCTTATATCTCTTCGGGTGTGGGGTTCTGTGCGACGTAATGAGTAACCCACGCCAGCGTACTAGGAAGAAGATTTACCATACCGCTGACCAGCAGCCGTCGTTAAAAAAGCAAAATATTTTCCCACATTTCCCGCGTTTGCAAAGTCGTGTGTGCCTTGATGCCAACGTCGGCAACGATCCTTCAATAGACTTGTACACGTTGATTTAGGAAGATCGCTGTGAAAGACGATCACCCCGTGTCAACGCTCTAGACTTCGTAAGTAGATTCTATTGAACAGACTTACAAATAATGCATCTTTTAGAAAGCCCAGAAATATGCTTAGATCGGCCAAGACTTTTTTCCCGCCACCATGTCCCGACTCGCTTCTTCATCCCAGTCAAGTGGAGCACAGCCAAAACGATCTCGCTAGTGGCACACGACCAACAGCAAAAGTTGCTCGTTGGGTGAATGAAAGCTTGTATGTGGACCGAGGTTCGATGTCGACGGATAGGATGCCGCGCGCTTGCAGAACGATAAAACTCTGAAGCCACGGCCGGTTTGCACGCGGTGATGAGAATAAACCGAACATGCCAGATGAGCGAGTAAATCATCAAGGTTTGAAGGTGATGGGTGGAGTACTCTGTGGGGAACTGGCCCAAATGGGGCGGGGTGTTGTGCGATGTCGTTGCTACCCATACGCGTAAATGAATGAACAATTCTTGCTGTCCCCGACGAGCTTCGAGGGGTCAAGTGCCGACATCAGAATGTGTCGAAACTTCAGGTATCATACGACGTCGTAGCTATTAACAGGTTAATCCTGGGTTAATCATCGGACGATCCTGGTACCACTCCATGGCGACGTACCTTTTTTTATCCCTTCTCGCTATAATTGCTGGCCTCAGAACAGATACTTAAACTGAGGGAATATCGAAGCATATTTCCTGCACGCTCCTATCGCGCGAACCAAGGGTGTGTTAACCTCGCACACACCGCCTCCTGTTACCAGATTCATTCTTTCAAACTGGAGTAGAAGACCTCTTGACGTAAAGAAAACATCCCAAGCGTGTGCGAAGAGAGATGTATTTGGGAACAGCCATTCCCAAGCAAGTTCTTCCAGCCTTCAGAAGTCTGCAAACTCCCCATTTCTTCCACTACCAGAAGGTTGAGACTTCGACAAAGAAAGTTCGATTCAGCTCACCAATCAGCAAACCAAAATAATCCCTTTTCTCTCCCAAGATTAGACCAATTCTAAAATGATCAGCTTCCGTGGAATGTTTCCAAATTCAAAATTGACGAACGAGAAGTGACGGCTGATACGGGGCTTTTGTAGACGTCCTTTCGGGAGGTCATGAAGAGAGCGACACCGAGGGAGGTGGATAATCGATGGAAAGGGAATCGCGTACGCGCCCGCGTCAACTGGCGATCATTTCAGCCGTGATCATCGTGGGAACGACTTCCAGCTTGAAAGCTCAGAGTCTTTTAGAGCTTAGAGCTTAGAGTCTTAGTGCTCAACGCTCTTAGCACTTGGCGCTTCGACGTGCACGAAGACTAACTAATTCCTCCTAGTGGCGGTACGAGGACCATGGATGGAATACGAAATTCTCACAAGCAGTGCATGAGTCTTGGTTGAGAACTATTCAATTGTTCACTTTTAGACCCGTCTGTCATCGCAAGTCCCGGGGTATGGGGAATGGCATTCATTTGATTTGAATTACTGCCAAAGCACCATTGATATTCGATCCATCAAACACCCCCGTTTTCCCAACGGTCATTCGTCCCGAACGTGCAATAACAACCCTAATACAACTATCCTCAAGTATCCGAATCCTCTCGAGCTATTCTGGCTCTATTTCAAACTCGTCAACTTCTGTTCGAGGAAGGCAAAAATCTGCCAAAGGATAGGATGTGCGCTGTCTGAAGGAGATCAAGCTGGGTGTATTCTGAGAGAGATGTCCCCTGGTGCGATTAAATGTAGAGATTGGCCTGATGTGTCGGTTTCCGTATTTGACATGGTTCGACGGATCCACTTCGCTCAACCAGATAACACTTAATCATAATCTAATATTGTACTCTTCAAGTGAGGACATACGAAGGGATGCAAAAACCCGGGCAACCAGCCTCTGCTGTAGAAGCCACAGATGGAAAGCTGCCGAAGAGAAACCACGGGAGGACGATCGGGGTTGTGCACCCACTGTATGTCAAGGCATTCAAGGCGCACGCAGACCCTTTCAGGATCATAAAGGTCGTCCATCCTTCGAATATGGCATGTCCTCAAGCTGGAGAAGGGTATCAAGTTGACACGGAAGCTCGGAGACTTGAAGGAAGCCTCTCTGGGTTTGGGTGCTTGCCGAATGGCTTGCCAGAACCAAGGCAACTGTCCTCATCATAGCCTCCTCATAGTACGATACAAGGTCGGGAAAGATAAGATGTTGAATGGGGGGGACATGGTCATTATGGCCGGAAAGCACTACTGGCATAGTTAGCTCCCGGCTCCTGGAGATGTGTGTAGATGAAATTCTCCATAAGTCAAGGTGGGCCCGTAAGTGTAAAGAGTTCGAAGTTCCAAAGGACACTTCGAATTTGACACATAAACTTTGAGAGGATTGGTGAGGTTATAACGTGGTTCGTCGATTTTGACATTTATGGAAGGCCAAATGTTGGGCATTCCTTTCACAATGTCACTTCAGTGAGAACAGACCTGTGAAAGAATGATGGCAGGGAGTCCAAAAAGCGGAGGACTAGGAGAGTCATAAGCAAATCTGGGATGAATAATCTTGCAGGGATAGACAACGTGGAGAAGATTGCCCCCCATGTTTCTACTGGCACCCCACGATGAGTAGAGAGAGCAGCACGACGCTTTTCGAGGGTTAATTTCACATTACTCTTTGCCTTCTCTAATCGACCCAAACTTCACCGTGGGATTGCAATATCCTCCTCGTATTGCTGTATCTCGTCTTCTCCTTTTTTCAGTATCCTCTCCAGGCAGGATTTGTCCATTCTAAGAGGGTATATGATCACATCGTGGAAATCGTGGTTTAATCGTCACGATACGAGATGGTAGAAGACGGGTCAAAGTTGACCATATGTTGGCACCGAGCAGTGCACAAGATTGGTCGATGGTCGGACTGCAGCTCAGGGTTATTGAGATCATGTCCATAAGTATCCTATGAAACATCAGTTCTCGTTGACAAGATTAGCGGGTGAGATACCTCTATCGAACGTTCAGGATTTCCCTCAGTGACCTAAATCTGAGTTTTATGCAAAACTCGGAGTTCATATGGTGTGAAATAGGTCACTGCAACGAGAATTAACAGATCAATACTCGTACTGGGTCGACGGTGCCGGTGAATGCCTGGGGGATCGATGATGGTTGAAAACACGTGGTCGCGTGGGACATAGTCAAATTTCCCAGGCTCCTCTTCCTATGGCGCTTCCAGTCACCATGATGGCAACTGGGTCGATAGTTTCAACTCTCAAGCTGTAGCTCAACGATACGGAAGACAGTCACTCTCATGTAGGATGCATTGGCCCTCTACTCATGCCCCCCAACCTCGTTCTCACCAGCGCCACTCACAGGCTTCACCGGGATACAGTACAAAATGAATCTTTCCCTCAAATCCCATCGATCCTGAGCCCGAGTGAGTATCTCACATAGCCACTTCGTTCTGACCAGTGTAAAAACGCCTCCGGATGATAGCACCGACTATGATCTTCCCTATTTTTGGACTCGCTTTGGAAAGGGGATTTGATTTTTTTACAATTTTCTTGTTGAACGACAGATGTGAGCACAACATATAGGCTAGATTAGTCGAAATTCGTTGAGTTGTACGCAGGGTGCAATTTACGCTCTTTATGCAGCTGTAGTAAACTTGTTACGAGCTCAGACTTTCTCCGCAAAACCAGTATAATTGAGGCTGGGGTAGTCAATACGCGAGTTCCGCTTCTTACAAGTTGGGACAAGGGGT